GGGGGGGGGGGGGGGGGGGGGGGGGGGGGGGGGGATCTAAGAGGAAGTTTACCGTATAGTGTTTTATAATTGTGTTTTACTTATTTCACATACTATTTCAAGTTACATTTTAGCTGTAGGTATTTCCTAGTTGTTTTTAACTTGGTAAAGAAGACCGCTTATGACGATGGATACTTGATTCTAGATAATGCAAAGTTGGTATGGCCCAGGGGGGGGGCCCCCTGGTATGGCCTCACTCCGAAAATTTTAGAAAGAAATATTTCTCAAAAATTATTTTGGGCTCCCATATTTCTAAGAGTTTGCAAAGGAGTTTTTCGAAACTTCGGCTTTTCACTTAATTCGGTATGATCGATCGATCTGTATTTAAATTTAAAAAATATTGCACGTTTGGGTAGAAGTTTGCGTGACATCGGTTTAGTCCCCGTAGAGCCTGGGTCAGAAAGAACGCCTTGAAGAAATCTGCTTTGGTCAAAGTTCAGTTGAACAACATGGCGGACAGATTAGCAACTGTGTTGGAAACGTACCGCGGACGAGAGAAAATAATGCGATTACTACAGTACGCAAGCTTTTTGGCAAGTGGAGGACTGCATAAGGTGTCGTGTGAAGCTACTGGTGAAAAGTTTCGAATTTTCGCTGAAGCTATGAGCGAGTGTCGAACGGTTCTTCGATTGTTCGATGACGCGGCAATGATTTCATTCGCGCGAAGTTATGGAACAGGAAAGGAGGTAATAAAGAGAAAAAGAGGGAAAAGGGAAAGATATCAATTACTTTGTTTAAGACAGCAACAGGACCAAAAAGAACCGAAGAATAAGGAGTCAACCTAAAATAGTTTTTGCGTTCTTTGAAAAACTTACAATTTTATTTCAACAGCTGAGATTCTTTTGTTACTCTGCCTTAATTCACAGAATAACCACGAACTCTGGCTGATCGGTGTAAACCAACGCCTTAAGAGGAAGCATATGTAAGCATATGCCCCTTCTTAGGCTTTTTAACTATGCGAAATATGATTGGAAAAATTATGCAGATTAAGGAGGGTGTTATCAGCCGAGGTGTATATGTTGTGGTTCAATTTTATCCTTGGTTTAATTTTTATTTTCTTTTGTTGTGGGGTATGTTGATGTATGATAATGAAATTAATACAAAAGAAGATAAAGATTAAACCAAGGATAAAATTGAACCACAACATATACATGTAGCAGCCTGTGAGAAATTCATTTCCTACAAAAGCTAAATCTAGTTATAAACAAAATATTCCCAAGTGCTTTTACATGCATATGCACCAGTCATTTGAAACCCCAGTTCTAATGTCCAGGCCTCCGTTGTTGAAAAGGTGGATAATGCTGTCCATTGGATAAATCTCTGTCCACCGGAAAGCACAATATTTTTTAATTGATTTTTCTAATACATATCCAATGGATAGTGATTTATCCAGTGGAAAGTGCTATCCATCTTTTAAACAACTGGGGCCAGAAAGGTTGCTAATATGCATAAGCAGGCAGCATTTATTTGGACTTCCACTGAAAAGAAATGTATAGAACGTAATCTGATCAGGCACATTTGGACTTTCTATCGCTGGTAATGGATCAGTCATGTGCCTTTTGACCTTGCGTCATGTATGGCTTACACAAATCACAGTATTAAAAGCAAGAGCGTTGTGACCTTCAATCGATCTCACCCACACTTCCTAACCTTTGCTTATTACTAATATTATTATTTTTGAGTGGTGGCATTCCTTTATGAGGTCCGTTCATCTGGGTTTCAGTAGCTGAATGAGGGAGATACATGTACTTCTTTGGTTATTTTTGCAGGAAAGTGACAAAATTGTACGCTGGACCAACCTCTTTGATATCTTCTGCGGTCTAACTTTTTATCCCTTGGAACACATTGCCTGGGCAAGGGACAAAAAAATACTTCGAGGAAAATCTGCTAAATTGTGGGACCTGGGCCTCTACTGTTGGATAGGATCACTTACTGCTTGCATTTTAAGGGACCTGTGGCTTTTTAAAAAGCTTCAACAACAAGAGAGGAAG